TACATACGGTATGTGTGTGTGTGTGTGTGTGTGTAGGCCACCCTCAATAGGCCTGATTTGTGGTGGAGGCTGGGAGTGGGACCCATCTTTATTAATAATGAGTATTCTGCCAGGAAGGCCCTTCACAGATCCTTTTCTTCTAACCAACCCCTACCTATCCTCCAAGTCACATCCTGTGTCTCCGCCTCCATGGAGGCCCTTCTGAGCCCAAATGCCTTTCATCTCCCACAGCATCCTGTACATACCTCTGTCACTGGACTTACCCACTGTTTTAGAATCCTCTGTTTGTGTGTCTTTCTCCCCCAGCAACCTGGCAGCCATTAAGTGCACATGGAGTGAATGCTGTGTGGGGAGGCGGGGAGAACTGGAAGGGATGGGGGAGGAACCAGGTGGCCTGCAGGAAAGGGCCATACTGAACCTTGGGTCTGGTACCCTGCAACCAATCCACAAATGCTGAGCATCCTCTGAGCCAGGCCCAGCGCTGGATCCTATGGAGACAGAGATGATTACAACACAAAACTCATGCCACAAATTGTAGATGAGGCCGTGTTTGATGGTGTACTATTGATTCTTAGGCCCCGGGAGAGATTAATGTGGGTAGGGTAGGGGAAACAGGGGAGGTGTGAGTGGGGCATCTGAGGATCCCGGGTTTGGGTCCGTGAGAACAGGAGAGAAGGGAGGCATCCCAGTTAGAGATCTGTGAGATGATGCCAAGGCCAGCCTGAGCAGTAGGCAGGCTGTGTGGAGAGAAGCAGATAAGAAAGCAGTTTGGATAAGATGGTACAGTGCAATCTTGGTCTGGGCTGTCTTGGTGCAGTCTGATCATGGGCAGTCTTGAAAGTCTGGAACAGGAATTTTGGAGTGGACTGTCAGGCAGTAGGGAGCCACTGAAGGTTCTAGAGAGGTATAGGGAACGTTATTTGTTCCTCTAGAGAAAGCAGGAGGGACTCTCGCAGGCTCAAGAGTTTTGTTTTCCCAGGCCCTTTGCTAACCCTCAAAATATGAACTGACATGCATCTGGGACAGCCTCCCCTCAGAGCTTCTACACACAGGGGCCCTCAGATCTGGATCTGCTGGGCCTGGGATGTCCCTACCAGCCGCCTCAAGAAGATGGCCCCACAGGGATACCTTGCTTCCTGTCTCTGCAGGGAGAACTTCCTGGTCCTAGACGTCTTCTTTGAAGCCCTGACCTCTGAGGCCATGGAGCAGCAAGCAGCCTATGGCCTGTCAGCCCTGCTGGGTGAGCCCTGGCCCTGATTCCTCAGGGGTGGACCAGCCAAGCCTGATCCCTCTGACTGTTCTCTCGTGCTCCCCAGGAGACCTCGGGGGACAGATGGGCCTATTCATTGGGGCCAGCATCCTCACACTGCTGGAGATCCTCGACTACATCTATGAGGCAAGGCATGGGGGCCTGGTGGGGGCCATGCAGATGGAGAATGGAGGGTGGGAGGAGGGGCTGGGGGAAAGCAGAGGGGTGGTGCAGGCTTCCTGGTGGAGCTTGACTGGCTGGGAAGTCAAGCTCTGGGTTCTTTGCTGGGGCCCCCTTACTGGCAGGAAGGCCTGAGGGCACTGAGGAGTCAGGAGAAGGGGATGGGTGAGGAGGACTGGGGCGTCCTAGTGGGGGTTTGCTGGGGCAGCTGGTCTGTAGGGTGGGCCTGGTGAGGCCTGTTCTGCTCCTCTAGCAAGTTTCCTGAGCTCGTCCCTCTTCCCCAACCCTGAACCCCAAGGTGTCCTGGGACCGACTGAAGCGGGTGTGGCGTCGTCCCAAGACCCCCCTCCGGACCTCCACTGGAGGCATCTCCACTTTGGGGCTGCAGGAGCTGAAGGAGCAGGTGAGGATGGGTGCTGTCTAGTGTGCAGTCAGCATTCCCTCCTGGGACTGAATCCCCCATAACGTCTCAACTAGCCTGTGGGAAGGAGTTCAGGGACAAGGAAGGGATGGCTGTGTGAGGCTTGGGGGTACTGCTTGAAATCTCCTTGTCCCACTCACTCTTCACCCTGCAGAGTCCGTGCCCAAGCCGGGGCCATGCGGAAGGTGGGGGTGCCAGCAGCCTGCTCCCCAACCACCATCACCCACATGGCCCCCCAGGGGGCCTCTTTGAAGACTTCGCTTGCTAGGATGGTGCTGTGTCCAAAAGGACCCAGGAGTCTGGGTCCCCTCCCTGGATCCCCACCATAGTCTCCTCCTGCTCCTGGGACAGAATATCTGGGGGCAGTGAGAGGGCGGTGCTCATTGGGAGGGTGGGGACTCAGTTCCTGCTCTTGCCTACCCTGGCGCCAGCTGCTTTGCACAAAGGTCCCTCTTGTCCACACCATCCACCCCTAGGCTGTGCCCAGGGAGGGCTGGAGACCAGGCCATGGGCCCCTGTGGAGGGGAGTGTAGGGAAGGAGAGAGGGAGGTGGAAAAGGGGGCCCATCCCAACCAGAGTGGAATCCTCTGTACATTTGTATATATTTAGGGAGGACAGGGTGGGGGTGGGGGTAAAGATGTAGAAGGTAAGTGGGGCTATGGGGTGGGTAATTTAGGGACAGCCAGGGTCCCAGCCCTCGAGTGTCAGCAGGAGAGGGCAGGCCCCCAGGACTCAGGACTGCTGGGCTGGTCCTACTTCCTGCCCCTCTCCAGTCCCAGCTCCCCTTTTGGCAGGGGGAGTGGGTGGCCCAGCAGGCCTGGCCCAGTTCCCAGTTCCCCCTGCTCCAACCCCACTTCCAGAGTCCCCTCCACAGGGAGAGGTAGATCTTTCAGACCTTGTCTGAGTTTGGGGGTGGGGAAGGGGGCGTCTCAGGCCTCTCTGCCTCCAGTCTGGTTTTATAAAGTGCTGAACAAAATTGGGAATAAAGAGGCATAAAGAATTCTCTGTGTGTATATGTGACTAAGCTGGGAGCTGGGGTGGGGCTGGGCATATGCATGACTTGGTACCTGGGAAAAGGAAATCCAGGCCCCAGCCAGGACAAGGGAACCATCCATCCTCAAAGCCCTCCCTGCCCCCAAGTCTACCTTTCAAAAATTCAGAACTACTAGTCCACACTCAGACAGTTTATTAAAGGCAAGGAGCTTTATCAGGAGTGCAGAGAGAAGCTGAGAGACACCCTACCCTCCTCTCTCAGCTCCCCAGTTCTCCAACAACTCATCTACAGCCCAGCACCCCGGGGTGACCCTAGGAAGCAGGGCTGGCGTCAGGCAGACTGCACTGCATAAATATTCGGAGGCCACAGCCTGAATCAGCAGCGTCAAGGGGGCAGGGAGTTGTGGTTGGGCAGAAAAGGGGGCTCCAAGGG